GTGAAGAAGTTTCGAAAGACGTAGAAGCTTGCTTAAGGGCGAAAATGAAGTTGGCTCTCAACGCAATCAATTCTAATACATCTGTCTTGTACTGTGAGACAATAACTAGGGTAAACTGACAAAGAAATTTAACACCACTACTAGCAACGAGTTTAGAAGAAAATAGCGGACTTACTACTCAATTCTATCACTTCGTCATAACCATCAGCAACGGCGGTTTCGTTCAAATCTTCCTCTTCTCCATCACCTTCGTCTTCCCCTTCTTCCTCAGAGTACGGTTCAGCCTCTTCTTCTGATTCACCATGTTCAGGATACGCTTCATCCTCGTTACCTTCCTCTTCATCTAAACCGTCATCTTCTCCCGGTTCTTCTGTATCGTTTTCCTCTGGCAATTCTTCTTCCTCTTCATCATCTTCGGCCAATACTGCGGAAGTTTCTTGCTGATTTATACCGGAAACTTCGTGCAAATCTTGATCAGACTGAGGTAAATCTGTGGTAGGGACATGATTTGGCTCGGTTTGCTCAACTGAGACACCGGTCTGATCAATTTCGGAAATCAATACAGATTGTTGATCATCCGCAATACTGATGGCAGACGAATCCTGAGAGCCAACTAACGATGTAAACGGGATGGATTCTGCTATGGAGGTCGATACTTTCACCAGATGTGCTGTCTCCTTAAAAAGCAAACACAGAATTACCATAATAAAGCAAGAATAGTGTATCGCTACCACTAGCTGGATAAACAACGGTTTAATTGGTTTTTAGAAAACGGTCAATGGTGAATGTTGATAGTGATCAGACGATAAATAAAACAGTTGAAATAACTGTATTGCGGAAGAATAATAACTGGCATAAAATGATTCAAATTATACATACTTTACTCAAATTGCAATAATAAAAGTAACGATAGGACAACAAATGGTACAAAACACGGAGCCGTAAATGGTCCAGACTCACAGATATTTCCTCAGCAGATGTAGTAGCCGTGTGCAACTCGTGTGCCATTTCCATTTCAGATTGGTGAGAACCAGCCACCGGTTCATGAGAAGTCACTACGCCGGGTTCCGAGTGATCGCCCGCAACAACAGGTTGGACAGTATGGGAGGAAGAAAATACACTATATGAAGAAACAGGCGCATCACTGGATGTCGAGACTGCAGTCGATGGGGCTAGGACCACTGAAGACGTGATAGGAGTGACAATACCGGTAACACCAGGTGTGGCCGTGTTCCATGTGTCACCTACCAGATGGAATCAGAGTAAAAAGGCAATAAGGGAGGGGGAATAAATTACACACGAGAACATAAAAGACGAATTATGATACAACACAGATGCATTTAACGTTGCACAGCAAAGCTATAATGGAACTATCATCATGACTCTCAAAAAGCATGGCACAGTGACGCCGACGGGGCAGCCATGTTGTCACCCAACCTATTAAGGCAGTATGTGGTTCATCGTTCCTTATCTAATTGCTCTGCGCATTTTTTCATGCCTCGTCTCCACATTATTTGCTGGCCTCCACGTGGCCACTCCAACCTGCAACAGT